GAAGCTCCAAACGACAAACGGGATTCAAAACACACTCTAAATAGGTTGACTTAACGAATTGATTAACAGGTCGAACTACATTGAAGAAAGCACACGGTATAAAAAGAGGATTTCTTATTTCATCCCATTGGGTTTAAAAATACCCTATGCAATTCTAAAAATACTTCTGAAAAATTGGAAATATATTTCCAATACACATCCCAAACACATATAATTCATTCGTTTTTGAGATTTATCTAATTTTACAATAAATTTTATTTCGGAAATACACTTCCGGAAATTTCCGAAAACACACTTCCGGTGACACACTATTATTACTGTTTTACTTGAAATATACCCATGATGGATTGTCTACCATCCAATAAACAACTTGAGAGTATCATACAGATTACTGTTTTACTTGAAATATACCCATGATGGATTGTCTACCATCCAATAAACAACTTGAGAGTATCATACAGAGCTGTACCACTTTATAGACTTGGTGTTGTCTACTAACAGCTTTCTTTGCAATACATGTTACTACAGTTCAAGGAATAGCCAAATATGAAAAATTGAAGAAATGGTTTCCCCAGCTATACGGTTGTGCAGTTAATGTGAGAATCTTACACTAGTTATTTTGATAATGAAGAATTTTGTGAATATTTTCCAAGATATATAAAGCATAGAATATTTGTTTTCTTATCTTAAACTAACATGCTGCATATTGTTGATTTTAAGTAATAATAGTGTCCTACCGGAAGTTTTGGAATTGTGTATTTATGGAATAAAGTTTGTCATAGGTCAAATCTCAAAAACTAATAAATTATATGTGTAGTGCATATTAAAAATATATTTCCGATTTTTAGAGGTATTTTAGAAATTTCGTATTGTGCATTTTGGAATAAGAAATCCCCTGAAAAATCAGAACGGGACTCAGAGCATATTATCATATTATTAAGGTTTATAGAATGATAGCCGAATGCCAGCAAATAAGAGAGACTCAGAGACCAAATTCTTGTTGGAAACTCACCAAAGTTCATGATGAATTTCTACCACAATGACAGTTTAATTATGAGACAGAAAAAAAAAGTAGACAAGACAAATAATTTTTGCAGAGTTTCTCTCTGCTCACAAATTGTGAAAACTTTGTTATTCACCTACAACTGTAAATTCTGTGAATACAACTTAATTGACTTACAGTTTTACAGGAGTTTTGATTGAAGATAATGTCATAACCATTGTCACTTAATTGACTTATGGACAATAGATTATGAGCTAATCCTTCTACTAATAAAACATTAGAGATAGAAAGAAGGTTACCGTTTTCAATGGTTCCAGAACCAATAATCTTCCCTTTATGATTACCTTCAAACTTCACGACTCCTCCAACTTTAAGTTCCAGGCTTTGGAACATAGACCTTTTTCCCGTCATGTGTTGTGAGCATCCAGAGTCCAGGTACCATGACTGGTGTCTCAATTGAGCTATTAAGGACATCTGCAACAAATATTATTTTATCCTTAGGTATCCATATCTTTTTGGGTCCTTTTGGGTTAGAGTGTTTAAAGTTCTGTTTGAACTTTGGGTTAGCATAAGAGTTTCCAGAATGTGATGTATATTTTATATCATGTGAGTATCCAAACTTGAATTGTTTATTCAGAGGTTTGTAAGTGAAAGTCATTTTAGAAACAGGTTTTGGTATGTATGTCTCCTTCCCTTTGGGAGGTTCATATTCAATTCCTCTTCTATTTTTCCCACTAACTCCATAGATTATTGAAGCCATTTTGCTTCTATCTATGCTTTTAGCTAGGAAAGTTTGAAAACTATAGTCATATTCTTTCAGAATATCTTTTGAACTAGACACAGATTCTGAACTAGAAGTTTTTTGAACATTTTGAATTTCTTCTTTAAGTTTAAAATTATTTTCTAAGAGTTTGGATTTTTCTGCTTCATGTTTCTCAATATCAAATGCAAGACTCTTCTTGAGTTTCTTGTATTTGATTTTGAGTTTACTATAGTTTTCCAGAAGTTCTGATAAACTAACAACAAGTTCATTTCTAGTGAATTCAAAAAATACCTCTCTTGGTTCTGACTCACAGTCTGAGTCATCTGCTGTGATAGTCATCAGAGCTAGGTTGACATTTTCATCTTCAGAACCAGATTCATCTTCAGAAGAGTCTGAGTCATCCCAGGTTGCCATCATCCCTTTCTTCTTACCAAACCTTTTCTTTGGTTTTTCTTTTTGAAGCTTTAGACAATCACTTTTGTAGTGACCAGGTTCTTTGTATTCATAACAGATGATCTCTCTTCTGTTTGACTTTTTGTTTCCAGAAGATTCAGGTTTATCTTCTGACTTCTTGAAGTTTCTGAACTTCTTTTGTCTGTGCTTCCACAGATGATTGATCCTTCTGGAGAGCAAGGATAATTCGTCTTCTTCTGACGCCGATTCTTCAGAGTTTTCCTCTTCAGCCTGAAAAGCGTTAGTATCAAATTTCTTAATTGATTTAAGGGCTAGAGACTTACCTTTCTTCAGAGGCTCGTGCTCATCAAGTTTTATCTCATGACTTCTGAGAGCGCTGATGAGTTCCTCTAGAGACACGTTGTTCAGATCCTTTGAAACTTTGAAAGCAGTGACCATTGGTGTCCATCTTCTGGGTAAGCTTCTGATGATCTTTTTAACATGGCCTGCTTTAATATATCCCTTGTTCAAAACTTTTAGATCAGCGATCAGAGTTTGAAACCTAGAGAACATTGCTTATATAAACTCACTTTCTTCAACTTTGAAGGCTTCATACTTCTGAACTAAACCCAGAGCTTTAGACTCCTTAACTTGAGCGTTTACTTCATGAGTTATTTTAAGAGACTCAAACATATCATGCGCTGTATCTCTATTAGTGATTTTTTCATATTAAACTTTAGAGATAGCATTTAGAAAAATATGTCTAGCTCTATGATGATTTTTAAATTAATCTTTTTGTAGTCTATCCATCTTTTTCTGTCAACTTTGTTTCCTTCTGAGTCAGTAGGATGTGTGTAACCATCCAAAAATATATCTCATAGATCACTATCATGACCTAGAAAGAAACTTTCTAGTCTGTCTTTCCAGTACTCAAAATCTTCTCCATAAAAAATAGGAGGTTTGTTGTAACTATTGTTGTTTTGTTCAGCAGCCATTGTGTTTTCTTCTGGATCTTTTCCTGACACGGTTAAGTGTTGTGCTCAGAGTCAAGCTCTGATACCAATTGAAGGGGTAAGAAAACACTTAGAAGGGGGGGGGGGGGGGGGGTCGAATAAGTGACTCTTTTTCTTTTCAAAACAAAGTTCAACAATAATGGAATGACACGGTTATTTTTATCCTGGTTCGTTTGAACTCAAACTACTTCAGTCCATTCGTCAAGGTGATTTCGCCTTTCTCAACAAGGACTTAATCCACTATAATCAACTGATTACAAACACACAATAACTGTTGTGACTAACAATGCACAAGTAATCTTACAAGTGACTAACACCACTAAGAGTTAAATCTAGTCCTAGTCTGCTTGAGAAATCTGACCAACCTTGGTCTCTCAAGGAACAATTACAAGAGTTTAATCTTTTCAAACAGTGAAATAAAAATTGCTTCTAATCAAGCTATATCACAACTGTGATTTTTCACTTAGAATAAATTGCACAAAATGTATGAACAAAGAGTTTGTGAGCCCATAATCTTTCACGTAGTTTCTTGCTTCTTTTTGAAATGTAATTTCGTCGGTTGGCTTGCAATAAATGTCCTTCTATTTATAGTAAGAACAAAATGACCGTTGCTGCCTTCAGAAAAGTGGAGAGCATTAAATGCTTGCGTGTTTCTTTGCACTATTCCATTTTCCAAGAAACTAGCTTTAGACACTTGAGTGCCTGACGCCGTCTTTGCATTAATGAGTAAACAACAACTTGTAAGAACATGTTTCCTATGCTTGACAAGACAAGTTGGTTTTAACGTTTGTATCAGAACATGCTTCAACGTCTTGATTTTAGAAAATGATTTACTTCATCTTCTAGGCATTGCTTTGCTTGCTAAGAACTTGATCAGCACTTGCTTTCAAGTAATCTTCTGAGCAAGGAAACCTGCTAAATATTTAGAAGATATATTTAAATAAAATGTCTTATCAGAGTCAGCAGGTGCGCTTAAAAAAGGTTCTTTCAATTCAGAACTTCTTCATAATTTTTTGCTTAGCACTTCAGAATGCTTCTTGTCAGAACATTATCTGAAATAGTCAAATACGTTCATCAGAGTATAAATTATCTAAAATATAATTTATTGTTATCATCAAAACTCTGAGATAGATCAGAACTAATCTTGTTCTAACAAAAACAACATGAAAGAGTTTTAAGATAGTCCCACTGCATACTAATATGTTTACTCTGGAGATGGGTAAACAACGCTAGTCTCTTGTTAAAAATTGTTTTGCGAGATCGACTAGGAAATATCATAACAATGTTTTAACTTTTAAGTGTTTTGAGATAAAAATGTGATGAGTGACTTGAATGCAAGTGATTTTGACACGGTGTAAAATCGACTTGTTTGCAAAATGATAAATAGAGTTAAAAATACTTTAAAGTTAGAAAATAAATTTGTAAAACTTAAGTAAAGTTTAAAGTAAATTGGATTAATATAAAAGGGAACCGATGATTCAAATATACATTATTCTTACTTAATTCATTTTGCTGTTCGCTTGGATACTCTGAATGCGTGCCGATAAGAAAGTAAGTTTGAATCCCTTAAATATATTTACAATGATTTATTTATAATAAAAGAATGTAAAAACACTTTTGGTGCGTTCATCTTTTTTGAGCGCCATGTATCCGCTAACTCCTCTCCTTGTATTTCACACGTTCCCATCTTTTCTTGCGTCTGTCTCTTCGTAACTGACCGTCGTGAACAAAGTCTTCATGTCGTCGCCATGTTTATGTGGACTTGACCTTTCTCTCTTTTTGGCACTTCTTTGAGCGCCATGTATCCGCTAACTCCTCTCCTTGTATTTCACACGTTCCCATCTTTTCTTGCGTCTGTCTCTTCGTAACTGCCCGTCGTGAACAAAGTCTTCATGTCGTCGCCATGTTTATGTGGACTTGACCTTTCTCTCTTTTTGGCACTTCTCCGGTCGCTTCTGACCACACTTGTACCTCTTAACCGGATTTTGACCTTTGTCGAAATCCTGGCTAACAATCGCGGAAATCAGAATTCCAGAAAGTTGGTCGTAAATTAGAAATCGGAGAAATATCGGGTCAGGTGGTGCCGGAACCGCCGCGGCAGCCGACCGGCGGAAGTGACAACGGCTAGCGACGGCCAGAACCGCGGTTTCACGGCGGTGCCAAGGGCGATCAGAAAATTTTCAGCGGCGGCGGGTCGGCGGTCAGTACTGGCAGCGTCGGATCCGTACAACAACAATAACAATGGTGAAACAACGAATCGGCACCAAGCCACAGAGATTTCAGGTATCCCTTGCGTTTTGCTCATCGATTCTCCCTCTTGCTCTCGTGTTCTGCTTCTTCTCCTTATCGGATCTCTGACTCTGCTTCTGTTTGTGTGAGCGTTGTATTGTTGTTGTGTGAACTGTGTATTTGTTGAGAGGTAGCGGTTGGAGTGTGTCGTGCGCGTACGAGTGAGATTGAATTAGATGGAGTTTTTTGCAGGTTATGTATTGTGAAGGTTGCAGTGATGTGGATATTTGTGAGATGGATATGGAAATTGTGGGTGGATTGTGTGTCTGTGGAGATTCTTGTGGGTTTGAGCAGAATTTCATATGCTTATTATTGGCTTGTTTTTGCAGAGGTTTAGAGAGGTTTGAGCAAAGCTTTGGGGGGAGTTTTTGTTTGAGAGTTGGTGTCAATGAAGATAATGAAGAGGTTGTTATATAGTGAGTAATGGTGAGGGCAATATGGTGAATTTGAAGATGAACGGATAAAGTCTGTTGTGATTTTTTTTAGAGTGGATGAGAGTGAATCGTGGGTGATATTCTCATGAGATGAGCTGTTATTGAGGAAAAAAGTGTGATGCATTCTCTTATTGAATTTGTCGGTTTGCAAGTTATGAGTACGTATTATGTTGTATGCTTGGTATGTGAATACGTATTATGTTGTATGAGTCGTATTATGTTGAATACGGTTTGTGGTGATGTACGCACGAATTGCATATTGATTTGCTCTTTTTCCTCTGCAGGTTTCTGATGTATGTATGATGGTTGGTGATACGTATTTGACATTGAGGAGAGAATCCTATCAGTTTCTTTAGTCCTCTTTATACTCCGATTTTTCAGATCATCTTCTTCAATTTGGTTATGCTGATATGAATTTGCAAACCCTAATATAGGTAGACTCATGTTTATTGTCCATTATTTTAAATATAAAAGATCTTTTTATTATGTTGATAAAGATTCTTTTTCTTGTTTTTTAGTAGTCAAATAATTTAATTAATAAACACTAAATCATAAAAATATTTATATCATCAATTAACATTAAATTTTTACAAATATTTAAGTTTTATTTTAATTACACATAAGTTATCATTTAAAATAATTCCATGACATTGCATTGTGCAATTAATCCATGTAAAAAAAATGATTTCAATTTAGAATCTATTTTCGTACTAAAATGCCATAATACAGTATTAGTATAAGCGTAAGAAGAAAATGAGAGCGTGACTATGAATAGCGAAAGCCACCAAACAAGAGAGACTCAGAGGTTCAAATTCTCTCTCTTCGAAATGGCGGAAGAGAGAACCGCAATGGAAGAGAGTCTATTAGGAAAAGAGATTGTTTCGAAAGTAATGAGCAAGGATATTTACATGAAAGAAATGAAGAGGATTTGTTATTTAGCAGGTCCAATGGTAGCAATAGGCTTGTCACAGTATTTGTTGCAGACAGTTTCAATCATAATAGTTGGTCATTTGGGTGAACTCTATCTCTCTAGTGCCGCCTTATCCATCTCCTTCACCACTGTCACTGGTTTCAGCTTCCTGGTACTCTCAACTTACTACTTCATAACCAATTTTTTTGTTGCCTATATTTGATTTCTAGATGAAAAAAATTGATTCTAGCTAAAAGTGAGCTAATGTAAAGTGATATGTTTGGATAAGTGTACGTAAAAGTGAGTTCAACAATCAATTTTAATCTAAAAGTTACATTTGTGCGTGTTTGAATTGGCGATGAACATAAGTGATTTTGACATAATTGAGTTTAGTAGAATTGATTTTAACATAATTTATGTTTGGATACATTTATATAAGAGTGAGTTGAACAACAAATTTCAATGTAAAAATCACGTTTAAACCTACAAATTCTAGCTTATAGTATAATCAATTCTGGAAGCAGAATATTCTACTTTAGAAGAACTAAACACCTCAAAATCTCTACAGAATCAATTTCACATCTTTAGAATTGGTTTTGCCTTTCCAAAAGGTAAATCAAACATGTTATTTGCTCCAAGTAAAACCAATTCTAAAGACAAAATCAATTTTACTTTAGATCTTCCAAAATCAATTCTACATCTCTCTATAATTGTTTTTAGATCTTCCAAAAACTAAACTAAAGATACAGTTGGAACTTTCTATTGTTATTTTTTGTTTTGTAGTGATTTTTTTAAATTAGTTTTGAGTAAAGAAGCAAATATGAAATGATATATTTGATTTCTGTTGATAGTCTTTTGTTGAAGTTCTACTATTGATTTTGCCCTCACCACCCGTGAGAGAGTCTTTTTTCCAGCCTTATGGTAATGAAGAGGTTGGGCCTCCATCACTATTGTTTGACAATGACAGAGTGAAGTTAGGCAGGAATATACTTCACACCTTCGTTTTACAATTAGATTACATAACATAACACGCTCCTATTATAAATAGAAAAACATGCTCCTATTGTTGTGGATTGTGGAATTGAATTAGTCAAAGATATATAAAACATTGTTGAACACTGCTGATTCAACTGCTCGTGTTACAAGATAAGTATCTCAGTAGTCTGATAGAAACTGATTATCAAACAATAAAATTGAATAGTAATTACAATGAGTTTCCAAGAAATTCGAGAGTCTTGGTTCTCTCCCTTCCAAGAATTCGAGAGCTTGGTCTCTCCCTCCCAAATATAACCTTTTTCTAATTTTCAGCCTGCCTAAAACATGGTTTTGTTTCCCTTTTTATTCTACTTAAGTTTTGTAACTGCTCCTAATAATAATAATTGTTACTCTAATAATTCTAATGGCTGCTCTCAGGCTCTCTAACTGCTACAAATAACATTTAATAAGGCTGCTCATATGCTTGTAACTGACAGAATTGATTGAATTAGAACAACCACATTCTCGTTTGATTCCTAGTAATTCTAAAGTCTAACAATACTCCGCCCCTAAAGATTCACCTTGTCCTCAAGGTGAAGGAGTACCCAAGTGTCCACCGGGGTCCCAGAACTTGAATTCACGTCCCACTTCTCTGGGTTTCTCACCATAGTTTTCATCTTCCACATTTTCCTCCAATAGCAAGACTTGAAATTGTTTGTTTGCACATACATGTCCAGGGTTAAACTTCTCATTACATCGGAAACATAATCCTTTAAGTGATTTATCTTGCAATTCTGCATCTGTCAACCTTCTAAAGCCTTGGTCTTTGAAAAAATTTGGCTGTGGCTGATTTGCCTCACATGATGAACTTGCAGCACTGAAAACAGTTTGTGGATTACCTTCATTTCCAGGATCACTTGTCACAGCCCTGCTATCGTCATGGTTTTTGAAGGTTGGTTCACCACCAGAATTTGTTTCACCATTCCCTTTATTCAACAAGCTATTTTTCTCATCCACCCTTTGTGCATAATCCATTAATTCAGACAATGTCTCTACTGGATGCAATTTCAATTCTGCTCTAATAATTTGTTTAAGTCCATTCAAAAAAATACCTTTCAAATAGGATGGCTCTGCGCATTTTAGCGGGCCAGCATACAATTCAAACTGTTCTCGGTATTCCTCCAGAGTCCCAGTTTGTTTGAGACTCAACAATAATTCAAATGGACTTTGAATCATTGCTGGTTGGAACCTTCTTAGTATGGCAGTCCTAAAATCTTCCCAAGTAGGATTTTGCGTTGAGAATTCCCACCATTGATACCATGCCAGTGCCTTGCCTTCCATAGCCACCATCGCAGCTTGTAATTTCTCTTCCTCACTCATCTTCTTTAAGTCAAAGTAACGCGCCACCCTGTTCAACCAACCATAGGCGTCAGTGCCTTCAAAAACAGGTATCTCCAATTTCCTCCATCGTTCTTTGCGTTTTCGAGGATGAGTAGTGTGTACAGAAGCGTCGTCATCACTGTCGTTCGGACTCCCCGGTGTTGTTCGCAGTGTGCGACGCATCAGGGCGGTTAATTCTGCTACTTGCTGGTTAGTTTCAGCTCTTTCCTTGCGATCATCTTCAAGGATTTTCTCCACATTTTCCCGCATGGCTAACAACCTTTCAAATCCACGTTCGAGAATTTCCACTCTGGCTTCCATTTCCCCTCGTGTAGATACCATAAAGCAGTCCCGGAAGGAAACTGCTCTGATACCAGTTGATAGAAACTGATTATCAAACAATAAAATTGAATAGTAATTACAATGAGTTTCTAAGAAATTCGAGAGTCTTGGTTCTCTCCCTTCCAAGAATTCGAGAACTTGGTCTCTCCCTCCCAAATATAACCTTTTTCTAATTTTCAGCCTGCCTAAAACATGGTTCTGTTTTCCTTTTTATTCTACCTATGTTTTGTAACTGCTCCTAATAATAATAATTGTTACTCTAATAATTCTAATGGCTGCTCTTAGGCTCTCTAACTGCTACAGATAACATTTAATAAGGCTGCTCATATGCTTGTAACTTACAGAATTGATAGAATTAGAACAACCACATTCTGTTTTGATTCCTAGTAATTCTAAAGTCTAACAATACTCCGCCCCTAAAGATTCACCTTGTCCTCAGGGTGAAGGAGTACCCAAGTGTCCACCGGGGTCCCAGAATTTGAATTCACTTCCCACTTCTTTGGGTTTCTCACCATAGTTTTCATCTTCCACATTTTCCTCCAATAGCAAGACTTGAAATTGTTTGTTTGCACATACATGTCCAGGGCTAAACTTCTCATTACATCGGAAACATAATCCTTTAAGTGATTTATCTTGCAATTCTGCATTTGTCAACCTTCTAAAGCCTTGTTCTTTGAAAAAATTTGGTTGTGACTGATTTGCCTCACATGATGAACTTGCAGCACTGAAAACAGTTTGTGGATTACTTTTATTTCCAGGATCACTTGTCACAGCCCTGCTATCGTCATGGTTTTTGAAGGTTGGTTCACCACCAGAATTTGTTTCACCATTCCCTTTATTCAACAAGCTATTTTTCTCATCCACCCTTTGTGCATAATCCATCAATTCAGTCAGCCGTTCTACATGGTGCAGTTTCAATTTTGCCCTTATAACATCGTTGAGTCCATTCAAAAACATTCCTTTTAAATAAGATGGTTCAGCACATTTCAAGGGGCCTGCATATAACTCAAATTGCTCTCTATATTCTTCCACTGTTCCGGTTTGTTTTAGACTCAACAACAATTCAAAGGGACTTTGGATCATTGAGGGTTGGAATCGTTTGAGTATAGCTGTTCTGAATTCCTCCCAAGTCGAGTTTGATGTAGAAAACTCCCACCATTGAAACCAAGCAAGTGCTTTGCCCTCCATGGCAACCATCACTGCCTGCAGTCTCTCTTTTTCCTCCACTTGCTTTAGGTCAAAGTAACGCTCAACACGATTCAACCAACCGTAAGCATCAACTCCTTCAAAAATTGGAATTTCCAGTTTTCGCCATCGCTTTTCGCAAAACCTTGGAGGACGGTGATTCACAGAACCATCCTCTTCATCTGAATGGCTGTGTCGTGTTCCTCCTGGACTTTGGCGCCTCGTGCGACGAACGGTTTCGACCAATTCTTCCATTTGCCGTCTAACCTCCATTCGCTCCACACAGTTTTCTTCGCCCTGTTTCTCCATTGTTTCTTTCATTGTTAACAGTGCTTCAAATCCACGTTCGAGAATTTCCAATCTGGCCTCCATTTCCCCTCGCGTTGATACCATAAAGTAGTCCCGGAAGGAAACTGCTCTGATACCAGTTGATAGAAACTGATTATCAAACAATAAAATTGAATAGTAATTACAATGAGTTTCCAAGAAATTCGAGAGTCTCGGTTCTCTCCCTTCCAAGAATTCGAGAGCTTGGTCTCTCCCTCCCAAATATAACTTTTTTCTAATTTTCAGCCTGCCTAAAACATGGTTCTGTTTCCCTTTTTATTCTACCTAAGTTTTGTAACTGCTCCTAATAATAATATTTGTTAGTCTAATAATTCTAATGGCTGCTCTTAGGCTCTCTAACTGCTACATATAACATTTAATAAGGCTGCTCATATGCTTGTAACTGACATAATTGATAGAATTAGAACAACCACATTCTGTTTTGATTCCTAGTAATTCTAAAATCTAACAATACTCCGCCCCTAAAGATTCACCTTGTCCTCAAGGTGAAGGAGTACCCAAGTGTCCACCAGGGTCCCAGAACTTGAATTCACGTCCCACTTCTTTGGGTTTCTAGTAATTCCTAAAGTCTAACATAGTCTTAATCTATTTTTTACTTAGTGATTCACATTCCAATCTTGATGTATATTAGAAAGACCGAGTTCCAGATATTCTTACAAACTGGTTTTGTAAGTCATTCGGTGATGAATGTGGTAACTAACTCCAATGCATTGGTCTTCATAGTATATATGATGGTGGAGGTGTACCTACAAACACTTTGACGATCAAACTAGTGACAATTGTAAGTGCGAGGTTTAGAGTTTTAGAATAATGCATACTTGAGCTTGGTTTGCAGTCTCACTTTTAAAATAAGGTTTTAGGATTTTGAGGCCCTAAAGTCTTCTGTCAGGGACAACTGTCTCAGAGAGTCAGAGTACATATGTTAGAAGATCTCACATAGTACCATCTGACAGTCTCTAGAGAACTAGTAAGCTCTGATCAGGTGTGTTGTTA